CAGCGTGAAGCCACTTTTCTCTTCTAAGATTGAGTAGTCCAGTTTCCTCCGACTTCCAAGCGCTCGCTGAGTCCCTGCTTGTTGTCATGGGAAAGCCGGGTCAGCATGATAACAGGCACCACACCCAGTTCTGTTGACACGGAATTCGGACCTTCTTCCAGCCACCGGGGCCTGGATGAGCCAGTGAACCATGTTCCACTGAGGGGCTTCCTCCATCAAGGGAGACTAAAGACACTGCAGCCTGCACAACAGGGGAGATGGCACGGCGCTCGAGCCCCCCACTCGTTGGCAAAACTCTTATTCCCTTGAAATAAAAAGTAGCCAAAAATGACAAAAATGAGAGATTTCTGAAGTTCCCTCGCAGTCTAGCTTCCATACGGTGATCAGCACAGACACAGGAAAACCAAGCTTCCTGAGAAATGTTTACAAGCCAGCCACCCACTAAGTGCCGCTAAGTCAAGTCCCAAGGTCAAACAGGACAGACAAAAGAGCTGGGCCCTTTCACCAACTCCCAGTACTGCTTCTTGGCAATGCCTTGTTCACCCCGGTCTATCCTCCCGGCGCAGCAAACAGCAGCCCAAGGGCCACATCTGGATAGAAGCCTATTTTTATGATGAATGTTTCATTGGAAAGCAGCCATGTTCATTTGCTCTGAACTGTTTATGGCTTCTTCTGGGCTCAACCCACACCAGTGAGTAATTGTGACATAGACCGTATGTGGTTTCTTGATCAGAAGAGTCCTCACTATTTATTACTTGGCTCCTTAAAGAGAAAGTTCACGGACTTGAGCTCTACACTTTCCTTTTCCAGACTCTTTGACCATGACCTACAATAAATGCACTTTGCCTAAGATCTAATGTGCACAGATCAAGACACTTCTAATCATTTACAATTCAATTAAAAGCAAAGTTTGTTTGGGGGCAAAAATTTTGAAACCCATGCATTTTTTTCGTAATATACATTTTTCTTTTTTTTTTTTATTGTTGCTTACATTGTATTATGTAGTACAGTTTTATAGGCACTGTTTCCATGGACACTTTTCAAAGATTGTTCCTATGAACAGATTTCATTTTTTTTTGGAAGCAAATACACTTAAAATTCTATTTTCCACAAGCATTTGGATGTTGCCTCATAGATATTAGCGTACATACTTATATACAATAGAATCTAGTTGTGTAGTATTTATTTATACACACACAATCCACAGAACCATATGTTTGCTAAAAGAAATGCATGATAGTTTCTATCATATTTATTTAAAACTAACTTTAGGATCCTAAAGAACTCAGAACTTACTTTTTACATAGGATATTTCTTCCCACTAATGAATCAAATAACACAAGTCCTGGAATTGGAACAGAAATTGGCAAGTCTAGGTTTTCCTTTCCTCTTTGTCTTCATAAACAACATTATATACAATAGATAACATAAACTCCATAATCTCTCTAACGAAAAGAATGAAATACTACATTTGTAAGCCATGGGACATCAGTAATAAGTGTAAGCTTACTGCAGTGTAATACTTCCAGTGCTTACAGATTTCAAGGCACTGGATTGAATGGCGTGTTTAATATGAAAGGCCTAAGACCGCCCCCTTAAGGTATAAGAAAGGTGTACAAGAGTCACCCAAGGGGAGTAGAAAATATGCTATGAGAGATGAGGAAGTAAAAACGCTCCTGTAAGACAGACATGCTGAAAGAGATGGAAGTGAACGTGGCACTCAGGAGGAGAAGGATTTATGTACACAGCAATGAAAGCCTTACCAATTAGGGAGGCTCACAATCAAAAAGGAATAAAAGTAGGATAATGGGCCTTGTGTTGTCAGTAACCAACACTTGACTTTTTGGGAACAATGTTTTCCAAATGGGGACCAAAGTTCTGAGTTCTTTAGTCACGGTTGCTCTTTAAACATGCAGATCATCAGAGAGGAAGTAAACTGTCGTATTTGGTTGTTCAGCAAGACAAGTCAACTACAGTTGTCCCGGCAGCTATAGTTGGGATATGGTTTGATTGGTCCTCAGTGTAACAGTTGTGATGGTGGGGAGGGTGTGGAGGGTGTGGGGGGTAAGCTTTAAAATAAGGGCACCACCCTCAGAAAGAATATGTTCCTGGAGAACTGGGCTAGTTCCTGAGAGAGCGGGATATGAGCAAAGAGCGAGCTGAGCTTCTTGTACAGCTTCTTGCTTCCTGTCTTGCACACATATCCTGTCCGCATGGCTGTGTCCCCTTCTGCTTCCACAGCATGGTACCGCACAGCCCATGGGCCCGCATCAGGGCGCAGGGCCACTCTGCTTGTATATCCGCATATACTAGCCAAATTGAGAATCAAACAAACTCTTGTGCTATTCTGTTATAGCAGGACAAAACTGCACTGGACAGATCTCATCTGGATCCATTCTCAATATAGGACTTCAAATACAGTTGGATGTAGGACAATTAGTCATATTGCATTACATTCATACAATAGCTTCTAGTAGATCAATACAAAGGGCCTGCTGAATGAAGCATTTATTTCTAATAAGGCGCCAAGTAAAATGAGAACAGAAGGAAATAGCCCATGTAAGCCATCCTGAAGATTGAATCAGTATTAGCAAGCAATGATCAAAATCGATGCAAAATACTATATTTGTTTTCACCAAAATTAAGACTGAATATCTAAAACTACCACAAAGAGAATATAGAATTTTTAAGAAATAAAACATTATAACTAATTACAGCATGTGCTGACATGCAAATGCGTACTAACCCATAGTGTCTTTATGTAAAATCCTAACAAATTTAAAAAAAAAAAAAAAGGAGTGAGAAAAGAATTATTAAAATCAAAGGTGTCCAAATATGGAGGGGAGAAACATATATTAAAAGAGAATTAAGACACACATTAATCAATTACAATATAAGGCCTCTGGCTCCTAATTAAACTGTTAAAGGGGAAGGGTGAGAATATAGGATATTTTTGAGATGTAAGTTTGGGAATCTCCCTTCTGTTATTGGGTTTGGGATATGAAAAGCTGCCAGAGATACTACTGTAACCTGAATTTAAGAGTCCAGAAAACTACAAAATAATACTTTTTCTGCAAGTGTGACAAGACAGTAAAAGAGAGAGAGAGAATTAAATGGAAGGAAGGTAGAAGGGTAACAAGCTAATACATAAACACTCTCTCACTTTTGGATAACACATACAAGCAGAAAGTGAGAAATTGCTCAGAGTTTAAGGAACTCTGGAACACCAGGAATAACCTCTCAGATTGCTTTCAAATCCCCTGGACTCCCTGGGAAGTGCGACACACTTCCGACTTCCCCACAGACCATCACTGGATGCTCACACGGCAACAGCGAACAGAAAGAGAATGAATAATGCTACAATACAAATGAGCAGTTTTCACCCAAGGTAAGCACATAAACCTTCCCACTTCCCCCAAAACCCTCTCCAATAGCAAAAAGAAAACAAAACAAAAAAATCCCCAAACACACGCATGAAGCCCCTGGGGATGCGAGGTGAAAGCTGTCTCCTTCCAAGAGCACGGGCAAAGACCAGCTGCTGCCAGCACCGTCTGTCTCGGGCAGAGGTGGGAAGCCTTGAGTTCAGACCCCGCCGCACCAACGCTAAGCAACTGAACTTCAGGAGCCTGCCTCACAGAGCCCTGCTTTGTCATCAACACGCATCAACTGTTTCAAGATTTCTTTAGCATCCTGACTCCAACATCGGCACACAGCACACACCTCCCACTGATGCAGGACTGTGGAAGATAGAGGATTACATTAGACCTCTTAGAAACAATGCGAGTCAGAAAACAACAGAGTGGCATCTTTACTGGAAAAAAAAGTCATTTTTTAAAAAGACTGACTGACTTTTGTTGGAAAAGCATATCTACCGAGGTTAGGAGAGACAGAGAAAAAGAACTTCCATCTGCTGGCTCACTCTCCAATTGGCCACAATGGCCAGAGCTGAGCCAATCCAAAGCCAGGAGCCTCCTGCAAGTCTTCCACATGGGTACAGGGCCACAAGGACCTGGGCCATCCTTCACTACTTCCTCAGGCCACAGCGAGGAGCTGAACTGGAAGTGGAGCAGTTGGGACATGAACTGGCACCCATATGGGATCCTGGTGCTCGCATGGGGAGGATTAACCAATTGAATCATTATTCTGGGCCCAAGGGCCGTCGTTTTTAATATTTGAGACGTGAAAATAGTAGTGTGGTTATATTTTTTGCGAAGAGTCTTATATTTAAAAATTCATACTGAAATGCTTTGGTTGGAATAATAAGCCATAGGAAATGACTTCACAGTAATCAGGGAAGTGGGAACCCCTTGCAAAGGAAACCTGACCATGAGTTGTTGATAGTTGAAACTGCTGACAAGCCTATGGGGGTTCAAAATGCTATTTAAAATACCCTTACAAATTTTTAATGTCCATAACTGAAACAATTTTTTAAGAAAGTTTTTTTCAGGCCGGGTGGTGTGGCCTAGCAGCTAAAGTCCTCACCTTGAACACGCCAGGATCCCATATGGATGCCGGTTCTAATCCCGGCTGCTCCACTTTCCATCCAGCTCCCTTCCTGTGGCCTGAGAAAGCAGTCGAGGACAGCAGAAAGCCTTGGGAACCCTGCACCCGCGTGGGAGACCTGGAAGAAGTTCCTGGATCCTGGTTTCAGATCGGCATAGCACTGGCCATTGCGCTTACTCGGGGAGTGAATCATCAGACAGATCTTCCTCTCTGTCTCTCCTCCTTTCTGTACATCTGACTTTGTAAGAAAAATAAATAAATCTTTTTTTTAAGACAAAAGGTTTTTTCAAGGACAGAGCAAAAAAGAACTGAAGAGATGAGTGAATCAGCATACACATCTTACTGGCTGTTTCTCTGTTTTTTCACCTGCAATTTCCCTCCAAATTTCTGATTCACAATAGGCTTATAGGTCTCTAAACCGGGACCCTGGAGAGATGCAGTCACCTCCTTACACACACACACACATACACCCAGTAAGCAAAGGCAACAAATCCTACCGGTGCCAAAACTTTCTTCTCCGCACAGAGAGCACCGGCCTGAGTCCATCAGATTGGAGAAGAATCTCCATCCAGCTGGTGTCTCATACACAGGGACCTTCATTGACTTGGCCACTCTGAAAAACAAATGAAATCAGCAACAGTCATTACTGTGCCTTACTTCCTCTCTTTTCCCTGCACAACCGGAAGACTTTAGGATCCATAACGAGACATCAAGACAACGTGGACAACGCTGCCAGCTTTCAGGATGTCCAGCCCTAAGGTGGACTATGATAGAGAGCCTTTTCCGGTGAGTCTCAACGTTTCTGACTTCACAATGCAGAAAATATTAGTTGATACATGAAATATTGTCACATTTGTTAAACATATTTATAATCAAATGCAATCACAGTCTTAATGAAGATGATATCTGGATACAAATTTATTGATAGTTTCTACTAAACCGAACATATCTGTATGCTGTGAACCAGTAATTCAGTTCCGAAAAATGACTAACAGTATGTGGCAGACACTGATATGCGCTGCTAAGAGTCATCTTCCCCACACATACGCACACACTGCACATATTAAGAATGGAGTACTCATTGTGCTAACTACTGGAAATGTTCATGGCTGGCAGCTCAGTCACTGCCCTCACCATCTGGCAAAAAAAAAAAATGTGTTTCCCATAAAAACACACTCCCATCCCTGGTCAATTTGTATCAGATGTCCAGTCAATGCATGATTGATTTATAAAGTCTGAGCCCCTTGCTCCCAATTTAGTGCAATTCTCTGATGTCACTTAGGTTCTAGAATTCTCCATGGCTTGGATGAGGCCTTTGTGGCAGGTGCACTGCTGTCCAGTTCCTCTCCCTGTCCAGTTCTCCTTCCTCACCCACTGGTAATACTCATCTTGAAGAGAGAAAGGAAGAAACTTTTTGCAAACGAATCTCTCTCCAAGCTACTTCCTAAAGCAGCTAGTGCGTGCTAATACTGAGCGATGTATGTGAGATTTTATAAGAGTGACCATAGGAACAAATTGCAATAACCCGTCAAAGCAGAAGGAACAATTAATTTGTGTTATATAAGCAAACTTCACATATCCACTAACTGGACTACAACTGCCTGCAACAATTTTAATGAATCTCACAGTGGATAAGGAAACTCAACAAGAAAGGAATATATCTTTTATTTTTCTATCTCTATACAGTTCAAAGGTAGCTAAAATCAACCAATGTTGTCACAGCTTAGGCAGTGAGAGACTCAGGGAGATTGAGACCTTTTTCTCAGGGTTTCACACAGATGGGAGGCAATGCTAGGTCGGTTGAGTCTCTGCTCATGTTCCATTGCATTCTACCATGCTCTATCTCCAAACATTTCAGTGCTTCTAGTGGGATTCAGATCCCAACGCATGCTAGGAAATGATCCGGTACCACAGGCGCTGGCCTGAAGAGTTTTATCTTTTTTATAGGCAAGCAAGCAAAAGAGGAACACATCTAACACCTACCACTAGGCAGATGGAGTTTTCCCGAAGGTTCTAAGTGCTGAGGGTGCCAGGGAGAACGGATCTGTAAGGATCCTGGGAAACAGCAGGAGGCAAGCTGCTCGTGGGATACAGGACATGACAGAGTAACAATTCCTTCAGGCTTAGTCCATGGCCACCTAGACAAAGAGCATCCAGATTTCCTTGTCGTGGGAAAGGGAACACTCAAGGTGCTCAACAATGAAAACTGTGTGTTGTCCCTTTCGAGTCAGCTTTGGAAAAGAACGCCTTTTAGTTGGTGGAACATTTGCTTCAAACCTTCCATCCTGGGACCAGCATTGTGGCATAACAAGGTTAAGCTTCCACCATCCCATGGAGCCACCAATTAGTGTCCCTGTTGCTCCACTTCCATTTTAGCTCCTGGCTTATGGTCTGGGAGGGCAGGGAAGATGACTCAGGCACTTGAGACCCAGAACTGGAGACCCAGAAAGAAGTTCCTGGCTCCCAACTTCGGAAAGTCTCAGCTCCAGGGAGTGAACTGGCAGATGGAAGATCTGTCTTTCTTTCTCTGTAAAATCTGTCTTCAATATAAATACATCTTTTTCTCTTTTTAAAAATTTTATTTCAATATTGCTCACATAGTTAAGAGGGATGAGGCATCCATGTGGGCCTCTGGTTAAGGTAGGGAGATTCAGGTACCTAGAAAGGTGGGTGGGATACATATTTCAGCGATTTTTTTTTTGTCTCTCTCTCCTGTGTCCACAGTGGAAAAGGGGTAGGGGACTGCTCCTGGCTGTCAGACTATCAGCTCCTGGGGATGGGGGATGGTCATGTGATGCTGCATTAGAGACCCCGATGTGGGCAAGAATGTTCTGAGGATGTTACTTGAGTAATTTTACTGATTTTGAGAAACCGTTGATTTCATTGCTCTGGAATTGAGAAAATCTTTCAAAGGTCTACTGGTTGACACAGTCCACTGCAGTGCATCCACAGACCCAGGAACAGGCTGCTAGCTTGGCCAGTAGAGTGGTCCAATCTGTTCTGCTTTGCATCCCCTAATGAGGCGGCCGACATCACCTGCTGGTCTAGATGAGCCAGCCGTCATATCCCTCATGTGCATCTGGACATGCTATCCACTGTTCAGGCATCAGCAACTGAAGAGCCTTCGGCCAAGGTCAGACCACACACCCTGTGATTTTTTTTCCTATGGCCAAGATCTGAGTTCCATGGTCTAGCTGGGGAATCCCCTAAGCAACTTCTCCTGGAGTGACCTCAGACTTGACTCTTGTGTTTGCCAGACAGTGCAGGGTCGGGTGCGGTCTGTCACCTGCCCTAGTCAACAGACATACTGGTGGATGCAGCTGCCTGGTTCTAGCAGGATCTAGTGCTTACCAGTGGGAGCTGTGCCACAGCAGGGGAATTCCCCAAGTTTCCATGCCAGGCCCACTCCCAGCAATGGATCTTTGTGTTGGTGGGTGCTGCTGCCCACACTGTCATGGCCCTGGCACTCATCAGTAGGTACTGTGGCTTATCCCAACTGGCTTACACCCATTCTAGAGCTCTCACCAATGACTGCTGTAGTCTAGTCCAGCCATGCCCATACCCAGACCCAGCAAGTGCCACAGCCTAAACCGACCTAAACCCACACCCATTCTGGCGCTTGTGATTGGTCAGTGGGTGCTAGAGCCTAGTCCGGTGTGGCCTGCTCCCAGTTCGAGCCCAGATGCTTGCTGACAGGCGCTACAGCCTTGCCCAGCCCAGAACACTCACATCCCTGGCTCTCGCATGCAGCCCCAGTTGTTGTGCTTCCCAATGGAAACTGTGGCCTAGTAGGGGAGTTGCCCTACCAGGCCTGCTCCCAGCCCTGGATCTCACATATGCCAGTGGGTGCTCCAGCCTTCTCCCAGCCCCAGCTCCCACAAGTGCCAGGTGGTTTCCTGTCAGGTGAGTTCTATGGTCCAGCTTAGCTCATCCTATCACCACCTCCACAAAAACTGCAGGGGGCTGCAGTCCCACACAGGCAAGCCCATAATTTCCCTACATTATCTGTCCCTATATCTAATTCTCTCAGGTTCTGGTGGGTGCTGCACCAGCTTGATGTGGCCCACCCCGTGCTCAGACACTCACAGGTGAGTACTGTGGCCTGGCCCAGCTAGGCATGCCATCTTGCCCCAAGTTTTTCATGTGCAAGCAGGTGGCAAGCCACAGTACCATGCAGGTAAATGCCTTGGCCTGACCCAGGCATGTCCCCTGGGTTCCCCCATCGAAACCACCTGGTCTTAGCTCCCTAGCCTACCTGTGAGTACAGCGGCCTGGAAGTCACTCCTTCCCTGTCAAACATGCTCTCGGTGGCTCATCTTCAGATTCCCTTCCCCAGGCAATCGCAGCCCTGACCCATACCTCACACCAAGGGTTGGTACTTGGGGTGGCATGTCCCACATAAGAGTTCCCTGCATTCCGCACTTTAAAAAAAAAATGAAAAGAAAAACTATGCTGGCATACTGGTATAGTTAACATAGTTTACACAAATTTGGCAACCAGGTCCAGAATGTCCATCAGCTACTGGCTGCTTTCCTCCCAGCAGGGTAACACTTGCCTAGGCAACCTAAGCATTTACTTTCAGCTGAGGATAAGTAAGTTTTTAAAAAGCATCCATCTACTCACTTTTTCAATGGTTTAAGAAAGATAATCATGCTTATGTCTTGATAGGAACAAAAAGAAAAATTGCCTCGCCCCTGCACACACACCATAGAGTAAAGCTAAGTTTTCAGAGACATTAATTTCATAAGAATGTCAAGAAAGGGGCAATAAATCACACAGGAACCTTTCCAGGGGCAGCAGATAGCAAATCCTGGGTCAAAATTAATCTTTCAAACCTGAATGCATATGATTACCACATAGAACCTGCAACGTGGGCCAGAGGTCAAAGTGCGAGAGAGAATAGAGGGTGTGGGGATACATACTCTCTGAACAAAACATGTTTGTGGGTTCAAAGCCACGTTGGCAGATCTGAAGGGAGGGGAAAGGATTTCCCCAGCTCCCACCCTTCCTTATAAATCACTGTCAGGAGTTCATCAGACTCCAGGCTGTGAGTGGATGTTAAAGGACAGGATAATTTGGTAACCATGAGTCACAGTTACAGCTATGCAAGCTAAGATAACAATAAGGGTAATTAAATTTCACTTGATTGCCGTCCTAGGGTCAAAAAGGAATTCCCCCACCATACTCCCTCTCTTGAACTTGATATTCATCCCAAACACAGCATTCAGCAGATACCATGACTAGACTGGCTTTTGGCAGGAGGTCCCTGGAGTGTCTGCAATTCCCCCCGGTGCAAGGGCTCAGAACACAGCTGCTCACGCCAAGAATTCTACACTGAAATCCCACACTGGCTGCCACCCTGTGCTGGAGACCAACATGAGAAGTCACTTCCTTGGAAAGGTCAGAGGACGATGGGAAACACAGTTCGCCTGGGCAGTGGCGTTCCTGCAGAGAGACCAGGCCCTGGTAGCCCCAAGAGCATGCTGCAGAGCAACTCCCTGGTTTGTATCTTCAAACTTCCAGAATTGTGACCGGGTTCAAAATAATCTCAACCTAACTTTCCAACAGTTCCTTCCTATTGATTCAGGCCTCTCACGGATCGAACCATTAGGG